TTTTCTCATGCCATATCCATATGTCAAGTTTGAGTTGAATGTGTTGTACCGTTGGGGTGATAATGAACAGAAACAGAAAATTTCATATTATTTTAAAGTAAAAGGGGCATAACTCTGCCAAAAATCATCGACCCATGAGCAAATTCAAACTTGACCTGTATTTTCTCATGCCATATCCATATGTCAAGTTTGAGTTGAATGTGTTGTACCGTTGGGGTGATAATGAACAGAAACTGAAAATTTCATATTATTTTAAAAGTAAAAAGGGGCATAACTCTGCCAAAAATCATCAAACCATGACCAAATTCAAACTTGACCTGTATTTTCTCATGACATATCCATATCTCAAATTTGAGTTGAATGTGTTGTACCGTTAGGGAGATAATAAACAGAAACTGACAATTTATATATTTTCAAAGTAAAAGGGGCATCACTCCTGCCAAAAATCATCGAACCATGACCAAATTCGAACTTGACCTGTATTTTATCATGACATATCCATATGTCAAGTTTGAGTTGAATGTGTTGTACCGCTGGGGAGATAGATAATGAACAGAAACTGAAAATTTCATATTATTTTAAAGTAAAAGAGGCATAACTCTGCCAAAAATCATCGTATCATGACCAAATTCAAACTTGACCTGTATTTTCTCATGACATATCCATATGTCAAGTTTGAGTTGAATGTGTGCAGTCGTTAATAAGATAATGAACGGAAACTGATGATGACGGAATGGCAGAATGACGAAATAGGGTAACACTATATGCCCCGGTCATTACATGGCGGGGGCATAAAAATCAAGCAGAAAAATAAAGAGAGTATGCACAACTAGGCTTGGTAACAAACAATCCTGTGAAGTTTCACTGAAATCCCCCAAAACTTGACCTAATAAAATACAAGATTTCAAAACTTGACCTAATAAAATACAAAATTGTAGTCGGCAATACCACAGTAATAAACATGTCCTACCATAGTCTGTTAGATTCTACTGTCCCAATTTTTTTCTATTTCTGCTTTAAAATTTAAAAAAAATGTGATTAAATGGTATGTTCTCATAAAGCAGGCTAAATTTAAATTGTAACAACAAATTTCAATATCAATAAAACTGTTATTCTACAATTATTTTATTGTTTTTATGAATAAAAGTCTTGGTCATGTATGACCATGATATTGCTTAAGTGATAAATAAAACGTCTGGGCATTCTTTCAGATCAAGCTGGGCACTTGGGTGCAACCACTGACCCCACTTAAGCTACAGTAGCTAAATAGCTTTCACACATGAAGGGGCTATAAGGTCTTGTTGGGATTTGAACCATTGCAATAAGATGCAAATGATTCAAAGTTAATGACCACAACTGTTTGACCACACAGGCCTCTTCTTATTTTCAGCCATTTCATGTAGTTGTAGTGGATAAATTTGTTACAATATTTTGCTGATAGCATTTTAAAAGTTCTAAGCATAGAATACTTCATCAAAGATTTTAAGTTATAATAATTAAGCTAATAGTATTAGCAGGGCTGCCAACAGCAAATTGCAAAATCAGAAGGAAAATACGCCGGGGGTCAAGGGGGCTGAGCAAGCCCCCATTTGCGGGTCCAGGATTCTGATGATTTGGTATGCCCTAAAATCAATTTCTTGGACTCTAAATTTGACTTCCTTGGTTGCCTTTAAAGCCATTCAGAGACACTTTAGTTGGACTTCAGGTTTTCATCATAGGCACTCGGTTCCAAAACCGTCTATGATTTTAATTTATTTAAAAAAAAAAATTCATATCATGTATATAAAATACTACAAGTTTCGCAGCCGCCATGTTTTAACGCAACGGAGTACGTTGACTGGTGTACAAATTTTCATTAAAAAAACACTAGTTCCCGATTCGATGAATAGAGACTATTGGCTAATACGGGTACCACAATTATTGACTATTTCGCCGTGCGTACCCGCAATCAACAATATGCTTTAATAGGTGACTCGGGAGCCAATATTATTTTTTTTTTTAATTGTACACCAGTCAATGCACTTCCGTTGCGTTTAAAACATGGCGGCTGCGAAACCTTGTAGTATTTTATATACATGATATGAAATTTTTTTTTAAATAAATTAAAATCATAGACGGTTTTGGAAACCGAGTGCCCTAATGGTTTTCATCAGCCCCTCAAAACAAATATCCGACATTTTGAAAACAGACAAGAGCGACAATGTAAACTGTAATTTGATTGGTTATTCTAAAATAGGAATGCCGGAAAAGACTCGATTTGACCAATGAGAAAAGCGCTTACAGACGTCCGTAGGCGGCTAGCTAACGATAAAAAGCCGAAAAGCGTGCCGGTTTTTGGGTACTGTATTAAATATGACGAATGAATTTATTGTCTTTTTCGAATTTACATCGATCTCAAAAAAATGACCCAGGAGCTCACGAAATCCGCGATTTCCGCGAATCCGCGGAAAATCGGCAGCCCTGATTAGGTTTGGAATGAATAAAAAAACTGTATATACCATATACACTGAGAGAGCAAGGGCCGCCCCTGCCGCACTGATGGTATATTATCTTTATAGGTTGTTGAAAAAAACAGTGGATACAATGCTGGTATAGATGACCTGAAAAATACAGTTGATCTATGTTGGATTTTATATTTAGAAATATCAATTATGATTGTCTTGTTGCATAAAAATGCACCGTAGAGTTCAAATAGGCAGGAATACAATCACAAAGGCCAGAAAACCTTCATGATTAATTACAAAGCATTTGAACAATAAACAGTGCATTATTATATTTATCACATAGCTGTGCTGCTTTTGCGGGTTCTGTAAATATGGTAATGCACACAGGTCGTGTATATAGTTTAATGTGTTATCATTTGCATTATGCAATCATAGCAAAAAATGATGCAGGAAATGTCAGTGTTTACACTTTAAAGTGCATCAATGAAAAGTGTTTTCTTTTCACTGTTAACATTTCTTATTTTGGATATGTGATAAAAAGAATATAAGATTTGTGTAGCTTCATTACTAAGATAACATGAACAAGTTTAAAACCAGAATAAAATAATTTTGAGCCGTGTCATGACAAAACCAATAGAGTTTTAGGAGAGGTATAATTCTGTGAGAAAAAAAAACATGTCCTGCAAGACTTATTGGTCTAGGAAAATTATATGCAATTATTACCCTAAAATAAGTGTCAAGTTCATGCAAAATACCCACAGGAAAATTCTTTGCAAGGACTTAGGTATGTTTTAGACATTTTACCATCTCTAACTGTCCAGCTGTCATCACTAAAAACGAATTAGAAGAGCCTCTAACAACCTTGGAATATACATGTCCACAACATCTTTTTCACCTATAAATACAAATATATATGTAGGTAAATTTTTCAACATAACTTTTCAACATAAGTTTATTTGAAAAAACAATTATAATGTAACAATGATATTTGTTATCATATGTTTGGAGTTAATTTAAGTAGCAATTTCACCACAAAATTAAATTAATTTATTACCAGAACAACCTTCAAATTATGTCGAGCAGGTTATAATTGGGTCAGATTGCACAGATAAACTGACTGGCAAAATATTACTATGTTCACACTGTGAACTTGTGATCCAATTAAACTCTGTCACTCAAAAATAGTTATCAACTTAAAATAACAGTGGATTGCTAACTTCTAACTATAGATACAACAAGTACTGATTTCAGTACTCAAATTCACTTTTTTTCATTTTTACGACGGAGACGTACTCAGTCACACGAAATATTTCGTTTATAACCATACTCTATCTTCAGATTCTGTCAATTCCTTAATAAGGTCTAAGACAGAAAATTTATTAAAAAAATTTACTCTATCTGCTGTCAAAATTTTTTTTTCTTTTTTTATCCCATAGACTAAGAACTACTGTAAAAAAAATTTGGGGAGGTAAATGAAACTTTGCCCAATAAAAAAAAAAACAACTTTTGGTTTTAACAGCCCATTTAATTACTTTTAAATTTTTAAACATTTTTTAAAAAAAAAGTTTTTCCCTTTTATGGGTATAAAAAATTTATAAAGAGATTTTTTTCCCCCCACAGATCATGGACTGGACGGGATGATAAAAATAAAAAACAATAAAAAAATAAACTTACCTTAAAATTTCCTTTGCCCTCTATTTTTTCAAATATTGCCCCCTTTAACATGATGAGAAATTATTTAAATCTATATGTTTAAATTTTGTATGTTGGGGTTTTTCATTGCACCCCAAAGCTTTTAAAGGTTACATGGCGCCTTTCCAGCTTTTCTGCTTTAGAAAGATATCAGGTGCCACTCAGTGTATTATTTTAGGCACAAAAGGGAACCTGAGTAGAACCACCAAGGTTCCATAATAGCCATGGATAGCTTCCTCACATGAAAGAATTCAAAAGTTGTGATGGATTCAAACCCATAACAAGAGGGACAAGTTATATGTAGTCAACATCCTTAAAACCACTCAGCCACAAAGTACCTTTAATTACAGCAAAATAAAAAATTGTGTTTTGGCCTCATTTTTCAAAAAATGGCCCACACTAATTTTGCAGTCATTCTGCTGTTTCACCTTCCTTTTTATGTATTGGCTGAATAGTACTCACTGCAATAGGTCCATCTACCGTTATAACATGAAATCCATTTTTTCTACAAACACTAACAGTTGTTTCCGACACACACACACACAAATTCTAACGAATACCAGAACTTTTTTTATTTAGAAATAATGTTATTATTTTTCATGTTATGCAAAATGGATACTGTCTACCCGAATTGTGTTTTTAAGACACAGCTTTACTGCTGGAAGAATTCCTCAATTGCCCAATTGTGCAATTATTTCAGGCATGAGTTGGCCATAACGGCCACTTGATATAACGTACATTCAGTCAGTCAGGATTTGAGCCTAAACTGGTATAAGTCAAGTGATATGAAGAGATTAAATCAGAGAGTGATATTTACCTCCAAATTCTGCAATACAAGCACAGGCAGCTACTCTTCAAGCATGGTGTCTGCCCATGTCGCTTCTATATACATGTATTAGTCAACCTTTATAGTTAAAGTAAATTGACTGAAAGGTAGATAAACAAAAAACAATACATCAACTGTTAATTTACAGTGGTCATGCTTGTTTAACAGACTCCAATAAAAGGCCTCTTCCCAATTGGAATTTTCTTAAAATCATGCAGTTTTTCCAAAAATCTGAACTTAAACTTATTTTTTGTTTCCCAAATTAGCAATTTTAGTGATAATTTTTCCCATTATCAAGAGGTTCAGAATAGTACATACTACATTGTATAATGATGATACATCAACGCATGAAAATTGTAAATATTGAACAATATTTGTTTTTATTTCAGATTTTATGTATATTTCTAATATCATTGACAGTGTGCTAGGGACATGAGAGATGTTTAACTTTCTATTATCTCTCATGAACAGATTTAACTGTAATAAATTCAAATCTGAAATTTTTAACTTTTCGTTTCTGTTGTAACAGAGGGATCTCTCCCTTCCCAAAATTCTTTTTAATAAAAGGAGTAAATGGATTGACACATGCAGTAATGGACAAATATGCTGTTAGACAGGCAGTGCAATTATCCATTCTAGTTCTAAATTTGTAATGGAAATTTATTTACTTGGAATCTGAAGCTGCCCATCCTTAATTTCATATATACTGTATTTTTCTGTATAAGTGGTCAATTTTGAAACATGGAAATATATGCGATTTTTGCTAATCAAAATAATTCGCAAAAATTCGAGCCCATAAAAGTTACATTTACTTTAGTTAAGTCTTCGATGGCCATTCTGATTCATCGTTTTACAATTACACTTAGGTGCATAGATTGCTATGTAAATATATCACGTTAAAAATAAGATCTTGTTATATACAAGCAAATATATAACATGATTTAATGTTCATTTAATATTTCATACTAAGATATTATATAATAACGAAAAAGGTTCATAATGAATTGTCGAACAAAAAATTTACTAATATTACGAGAGTTCTGGAAATTGTACTTTCGCAAATATTTCTGCATGCAAAAAGTCTGTTCTTCTTCATTTGAAAACATTTTGTGACGTAAGAATATTCACTTATACAGTATACATTGACAGAAGCTAAGAATATGAAAAAAATCTTCATTGTTTCATCAATTTTATAACAAAAATTTTATAGAGTAATAAAACTCTGATCTTCAATAAATCCTGGAAACTTTTACCCATGCACTGTAATATTAAATGCAACAAGGGTGAACATTGTCACTAAATATGCCTGTCATAAATGTGGGCAATAAGTTCATCTAAAATTTTATCTCTTATGTCTTATGTGTGACCTTGAACTTGATTGCAGGGACTTGAATTTTATGCAGAACACTCAGCCTCACAATGATAAAAATCTGTGCCAAATCATAATATTAAAATCACTCAATGCATGTAGGATTGTTTTGTTGCTGTTTTTTTTCAAAAAGATCTAAATGTGACTTTGATATTTTACGAGAGATCTGGTTCATGCACAGGGCACTTCATCTCCTGGTGGTTAACATTTCTATAAAGAATTATACAAATTCTTCCATGCATGTAGGAGATATGCTCCAGACAAAATCCGGATATTTCATCATCTTTAATGACTTTAACCTTGCACCTTGACCTAAATTAAATGTGTCACAGCTGTAGTCATGAAATTTGTGTTACAATTCTTCAATAAATAATGAATAAATGGTTACTTTATACATATTCATATTTCTATTTGAACTTTGACCTTGAACTTCATCTCAGGGACTTGAATTTTTATGCGCAACACTACACCTTACAATGGTGCACATTTGTGCCAAGTTATGTTTAAATCTCCCTATGAATGTAGAAGTTTTTCTCCAGACAAGCGTTTTTACATTAGCTCTAAGTGTGGTCTTGATCTTTGATCTAGTGACCTTGATCATGTGTGGAGCAATATGTTTCCTGGTGGTGAACAGTTCTATAAAGTAAGTTAGAGATATGCTCCAGACAGAATCTGGATTTTTCATCATCTGAAGTGACCTTGACCTTCCATATATTGACTTAAATTACATGTATCACAGCTGTAGGCATGATAATGACTATTGTGTAACAATCCCTCAATAAACGATGTCAAAATGGTCCAAATACACATCATCATATTTTCATCTGAACTCTGACCTCTATGTGTGACCTTGATATGGCCGCAGGGACCTGAATTTTTGGTGCGACACTACGCCTCAGAATGGTTAAAATTTATGCCAAGTTATATTGAATTCCTAAATGCATGCAGAAGTTTTTTGCGGAGAAGCATTTTCCAATGACCTCTAAGTGTGACCCTGACCTAGAGAATTGGTTCATGTGTGTGACATGGGACCTTATAGTGGTTAACATTTTTAATGAAGTTTCATTAAAGTCCCTCTATTTGTGAACGAGATATGCTCCAGACAAAATTGGAAGCCACCAGCACTCCATCCCCCTGCCCGCCAGGCGTTCTTATATTATGTCCCTTTTTTTTAAACGGGTGTATAAAATTCAGTAATAGTGTCTAGTTTAACAGCAAAAAAGAGCAGATTTAGCGTGACCTACCACTTGTCCGATGTACCAGTTGTTTCCCCTGCTCTCCCATCACTTGTTTCCATGTGTCCTGTGAGTAAATATGGAGACCTTCGGCTACGTAGTATCTGAAACAAATACACAATCATTTAAGATCATATCATTTCAGACATTTCTACTCTCAAATGGTAGCAATTTTGTTTCTTGATGTGCACAAAATATTTCAAAATATTTATTCAATTATTATTTATTTACAAATTGTTGGTAACGTAGCGTTTATGCATTTTTTCTGAACATACAAAGAAACAAACATATTGTCATAAAACACCAATGGCCTATAAATCTACTCAATGTAAGAAAGATGCTTAAAACAATTTCCTGAAATGGGACATAAAGAAGCGCCGCAATGCGACGAAAACCAGGTTTTTAACTACCAAGTATAGATGGGACAGCAATCAATAGGTCAACGTGCACTGAAGTTATTGAGTAGAAGCTGTAAATTCTATTGTTAGCAAAGGGCCTTGACCTTGCTCCAAGATATCTAAGTGGCAATCCAAAGCTGCCACACAGCAAGTTTAGTGACAAAAGGTCAAAGCAAACTCCAGTTATTATGTGAAAACTGAATACATAAACTTTGATCGCAGAGACCTGGGTAGCAATCCAAAGCTGCCTCTTGATATAAGCTACCCATACATCAAGTTTGGTGTCAATATGCCAAAGCAAACTCACATTATTGAGCAGAAACTGAATTTCTATTTTTAGTAACAGTGACCTTGACCTTGATCGCAGTCACCTGGGTAGCAATCCCAAGTTGCCTTTTGATATACGCTAACCATAAACCAAGTTTGATGTCAATTGGACAAAGCTAATTTAAGTTATTAAACAGAAACAGAATTTCTATTTTTAGTAACAGTGACCTTGACCTTGATCGCAGTCACCTTGGTAGCAATCCCAAGCTGCTTCTTGATAAAAGCTATTGATACACCAAGTTTGGTGTCAATAGGCCAAAGCAAACTCAAGTAATTGAGCAGAAAATGAATTTCTATTTCTAAAACCAGTGACCTTGACTTTGATTACTGGGTAGCGATCCCAAGCTGCCTCTCAATATAAGCTACCTACACACCAACTTTGGTGTCAATAGGCCTAAGCAAACTTAAGTTATTGAGCAAAAACCATAAGTTGATGCCCGCCTGACTGCGTGCCCGCTCGCCGACATCGACATTACAATACAATAACCCAGTTTTCATTGAAAAGCTGGTTAAAAATGTAGCCCTTCTCTGTTTATAAAGTTTTAAACATGATATAAATGTGGTTATAAACATAGTAAATTCAGTCATTTTATGGTAATTCATACACACCTTGTGACTATTCATACAATATTTCTTAATTCATTTTTATCCTTCTAAACTTTGTTATCTCACCATAAAGTTTATAAACTTATTTGCGTCAATTTGAGGTCAGCTGCTATAAGATAGAGTTTTGTGACCCTGGCATATATAACAGGATTCAGAGTCAACTCGTCCCCTGGTCAACTTGTCCTCTGGTCAACTCATCACCTTTTTGTCAACTCGTCCCTTGAACAACTCGTCCCCTGGTCAACTCATCCCCAACTCGTCCCCTATATTTTATTATTATTTGTTTTTCATATATTTCATAAATTATTATAGACTGTTAGAAATACTATATTATAAAATTACTGAATTTGACATATTTTGACGCTTTTTGTATGCGAATATTTGGAGTTTTTTTATCTAATGATAAGTATATATATGCATAATTCTGATTAAATTACACACAGAAAAAACAACACGAAAACGATCAATAGCAATAACATTTAATGTATAATGTATTATATTTATCACGACAACTTTTATATTGACAATTTCACAACAAACAATCATCATATTTTTGATTGACACGATCCTTCTATAATGAGATCAATACACACCAACATAAAGTTTTTAGTACTTCTAATTTCTGTTAATCTGTCGTCAGTCTTTAATACATTCAGGGAGGCGGTAAAAATCAAAGAGTTGTACCTAATTTTAGTTTTAATTATCATTAAAACTCAGATTAATTAAACATTAATTGAATGTTTGCAAACTTACCTGTCTTTGTAGTTTAATACATCAAAGCTATGCACGTGCGCTTAGATAAAGATCATTAAAATTTAACGTAAAAAAGACGTTATTTTATTAATATTTCAATATCGATCAAATTCATTATTAATTTTACATAAAATAACTATTTAAAGACATTCATTTACAACATAATAGTGACGAATAGATCGAAAGTAGGGGACGAGTTGATCATATTAGGGACGAGTTGACTCTTTGAGGACGAGTTGACCAAAAGAAGGGAACGAGTTGACCAAAAATAGGGGACGAGTTGACCAAAAAGGTGACGAGTTGACCAAGGGACGAGTTGACCAAATTGCTATTAAAGTATCATACGAGTAATTGCACATGCACAATTTATCTTAACACAATACAAATAGAAATCACCAAATACCTATTACGACACATCCTAGGTAACAAAATGGGGAAAAACTGGTGCCTTGTTTGATCTGATGGTAAACATGATGGAACATCCTGGTTGCCAGATGACAAAAGTCTCACCTAGTAAAAAAAAAAAATCCAAATCATTTCCATGCCAAATGAAGTGTAACCCTTTTCCTGATAGTTTATCACAGGGACTTGCCCTTCTTGGAAATTGGAACTATCTAGTACACAATAAACAATTTTCCTGATAGTTTGTCACAGGGACTTGCCCTCCTTGGAAATTGGAACTATCTAGTACACAATAAACAATTTTCCTGATAGTTTGTCACAGGGACTTGCCCTTCTTGGAAATTGGAACTATCTAGTACACAATAAACAATTTTCCTGTCATGCAGGAATGTGAAAATAAAGCAGAAAATGAGCAAATGTAAAGCCAAATTGTGAAAGTATGTGGATGAGGCAACATGGTAAGGAAACATACAATATATTTTATAGTATATATTTCAACTTTACTTTTGCACCATTCTTGCATTATTCCAATATTACGACAGGATATACACAGAGTGGTATAATTGTAAAGATCTAGAAATCATAAAAATAATAAATTGAGCGTCTAACTGTAAGGACTTTGATCATAATGAAATGATGTACAGGCTAGCCTAGATCTATGTTAGCAGTGTAAACTAACTAAGTCACTGTGAGCATACAAAGCATCAACACTCATCATGTTCTTTAACCAACATGTATGTTATATGCTGCACAAGATGCTTCAATATAAAAAAATGTGCATGTCAAGTTTTTTCTATAATCGAGAGACTGGAAAATGTAATTTCAAAATGTATTCTGGTATCTTTGTGCATAGGTCATAATCAAAATGCTTGTTTGCTCTAGCAATGAGTCAAAACAAAAATTTAGCAGATGCTATTCTTTCCACGTCTCACTTTCAAAGGTCATCATTTGTAATGAAATAATTCGTAAAGACTTAATTTAAGTATGATGCAATTTGCATATATACATAGCATACCTGGCTTCAATTATCTACCAGTCCTCTACCAAGATAATCTACAAACTGATGCTCATACCTCAATATAGCATTATCTTCATCCAGCAGGGGCAAATCTGAGCCTGTCCAACAAAGAGATAACATTATATTATAACAAGAGCTGTCACAGGAGACAGCGAAGCTCAACTAATAAAAAACTGGACGCAGTAAGGTAGACAAAACTATAAAAAATCAATTATGTATAATTATGTATTAAGTTTTAGTAAAAAAATAACATTTGTTAACATAAATTCCAAGTTCAAGGGGGAATAATTATAGAAATAGAGTTATGAACCTTGTCACACAACATGTGTGTAATGATAAGAAATATATATTTGAAGTTTAAAGTAGATACCTTAAAAAGTAAAGAAGTTATAATATTTCTTTAAAAAAATCCAAAGTACAAGTGGAGATAAATCTGAAAATATTGCTTGAAGAGTTATGAACCTTATCACATAAGATGTGGCTGATGATAAGGAACGTATATTTGAAGTATGGAGTTGATACCTTAAGAAATGAAAAAGTTATAGTGAAAAATATTTTACTGCACCGAAACTTTAATCTGAAATCTGGGCGCGGACGCCGGGGCGAGTAGGACAGCTCTCCATATATACATGTTCTTCGTATAGTTGAGCTAAATACAGTTAAATCACTTTAGTTTCGAGCTATTTAACTTACCTATATAGAGTTTTACATTTCATTAATACCTATTTTACTATATATAGTAAAAATATCTAGGGTATTTCAACGCAATTATGACAAGATTTAGATCACTATGCAATTTTAGCTGATTTCTACTTGACATTATTTATACATAATAGGCAAGTGAATGAGCGCACATGCTAAATGATGTAATCAACTCTTAGTGACTTTCAACATGGCTGCTGTCTTTGAATGAACTGTAGTCACTTGCACGCAAAATCTTAAGTTTTGATGATATAATTAATGGCAATCAACAAAGCTTATCAGCATATTTCTGTCTTTAACAATCTGACTTGAACAAGGCGACAATATGCGCATTTCATCTTTGTATTAATGGTTCCCATAAAGTTGTGTTGAATTTCTGCCAGTAGTTTATATAGAGAAGAAGAGTGGAAACTGATACTATTATATATGCACAATCAAGGGCCATAACTCTGTGATGAAGGGTCTGACCAGTACAATATTATCAGTTCTATTTTTAATCCACTGTTTTGTCAATCTACAGACAATGTGACTGATGGACAGACAAAGGCTTTTTATGCACTCCACAGTCCAGGAATTTATTTAATCCATGATTTTCTTTAAAATATTCATATATAATAATATAATATAATGCAACAAAAAATTATATTACTTCATCCAAGTTCCTTATGATTTCCACCCAGCAGTGTCCTGGAAAATTTGAGCAGCCTCTGTACTGTGCCTCTATAGACAGAACTAGAAATGTGTCCATAGGACACGGGTGCCCCCACCGCGCCACTGTTCTGTCAATCTTTTTACTAAGTCAAGGGTAATATCTCTACAAATACTGGATAAATCCACAAGCGAAACCCCAGGTGCAAATCTAAATATGCTGAGCAACCTACCCATAAGGTTTAATGACTATGTCAAATCCTTTTTGAGTAACTTGCGACACAAGTTGAAAATTGCAAAAATTTTCTAAGTGAAGGGCAATAACTCTAAAAATACTAAATAAATCCAGACGAAAAATACCTGGTGCATAACTGCACATGCTGATCAATATTCCTGTAAAGTTACATGACTCTAGATAGGTCAAATACTTTTTGAGTTACGTGCGACACATGTTGAAAATTGCAAAATTTTACTAAGTCAAGGGCAATAACTCTGAAAATACTAAAAATATCCAGAAGAAAATACCCAGGTGCACAACTACACATGCTGATCAACATTCCTGTAAAGTTTCATGACTCTAGGTCAAATACTTTTTGAGTTACGTGCGACACAAGTTGAAAATTGCAAAATTTTACTAAGTCAAGGGCAATAACTCTGAAAATACTAAAAATATCCACACAAAAATACCCAGGTGCACAACTACACATGCTGATCAACATTCCTGTAAAGTTTGATGACTCTAGGTCAAATACTTTTTGAGTTACATGCGACACAAGTTGAAAATTGCAAAATTTTACTAAGTCAAGGGCAATAACTCTGAAAATACTAAAAATATCCAGACGAAAATACCCAGGTGCACAACTACACATGCTGATCAACATTCCTGTAAAGTTTCATGACTCTAGGTCAAATACTTTTTGAGTTACATGCGACACAAGTTGAAAATTGCAAAATTTTACTAAGTCAAGGGCAATAACTCTTAAAATACTAAAAATATCCAGACAAAAATACCCAGGTGCACAACTTCACATGCTGATCAACATTCCTGTAAAGTTTCATGACTCTAGGTCAAATACTTTTTGAGTTACATGCGACACAAGTTGAAAACTGCAAAATTTTACTAAGTCAAGGGCAATAACTCTCTGAAAATACTAAACATATTCAGACATAAATACCCAGGTGCAGAACTACACATGCTGATCAACATTCCTGTAAAGTTTCATGACTCTAGGTCAAATACTTTTTGAGTTACGTGCGACACAAAAGTGAACGGACGGACAGACGGACGGACGGAAGGACGGACGGACGGACAGACGGACGGACGGACGGACAAGGGTAAATCTAAGTGCCCGCCACTAACGTGGGGGCACAAAAAAAAGTTGGAATTATAGGATATTCTAGATATAATCAAATTAAAGATTCATTATTTTGATAATCATCATCATGTATCATTTACTTACATACATGTACTGTCAATGGATCACACTTGTTCTGATATATACAACTATCTGTCAATGGATCACACTTGTTCTGATATATACAACTATCTGTCAATGTATCACACTTGTTCTGATATATACAACTATCTGTCAATGGATCACACTTGTTCTGATATATACAACTATCTGTCAATGGATCACACTTGTTCTGATATATACAACTATCTGTCAATGGATCACACTTGTTCTGATATATACAACTGTCTGTCAATGGATCACACTTGTTCTGATATATACAACTATCTGTCAATGGATCACACTTGTTCTGATATATACAACTATCTGTCAATGGATCACACTTGTTCTGATATATACAACTATCTGTCAATGGATCACACTTGTTCTGATATATACAACTATCTGTCAATGGATCACACTTGTTCTGATATATACAACTATCTGTCAATGGATCACACTTGTTCTGATATATACAACTATCTGTCAATGGATCACACTTGTTCTGATATATACAACTATCTATCAATGGATCACACTTGTTATGATATATACAACTATCTGTCAATGGATCACACTTGTTCTGATATATACGAGCCAATATCAGATTTCGCCTGTAATCTTGTCCTTTTCAATTTTTCACAAAATGCATGATCATTTTATAAAAAATAAATTTGCATGCTTGTAAGTTCATAAAATGTTGTTAACTAAGACATTTACAGGATAAGATATTCAACAAGTTTTTTTTTCTGGTAGTGTCATAAACCTAAATTAAAACTGATTATCCCCCGTCCTTAAGTCAAAATCCCAATTTCAGCTGTTTATCCTGTAAATTTGTATTACTAAAATACATATTTTTGTTAACTAACGCAAAATATAACCTTTTATATAATGTATTTATACAGTAAAAGCCTCAGTTAAGTATTTCAATTTGCAAAATGCAAGTTATAATTTTGTCCCCGACTTTTTTGACAAAAATGTCCTTCAAGTAACAGTAATATAAGTAGATTATTTTAGTTTAAGTAAATTGTTCCAGTGTGCTCTTCAAAAGAAGGTGATAGGTGTAATACATGGCTACAGCAACGAAACATATGGACATTTTAAATAGGATTTAGAAAATTGAAAGACATTGATAAAAGGTTGGAACCATGATTTCGAACAGTGTCCTTTAAGTAACGAAATTCTTATTATTTAACTTATGAGAAAGATTCCCTTTTGTATTGCTGCTATTAGCAAATATGTTTCAGTCATGAATTAAATGATCAAAATTGTCTCCCTTATCTTATCTGTGTAAACAGACTGTAAAATAACCTGAATACGTCCTTGCAGTAACTGTCCTTACAATAATGTTACTGCAAGTACAAAATCTGTTACTGAAAGTACAAAATACAAAACAATTCTTATTCGACATATAATTATGGATAAAGATAGATATACATTTCTTGTTGGCATAATCTATTTATTATTAATATATTTATTCTATAATAGACATTTATGCAATTTAAAACTTCGGCTTTATGTTATTTTGTTATTCGAAGGACAATCTGTGTTATTGAAAGGACTTTTTAATTCAAACTCAATGTACTGTACTAACATATCTACATTCAAACCTGGAGAAAGTTTCTTTTTTGTTTCAGTATATATATTCAATTGTGTTATTTTTTGCTTTTACAGTACATGCTTTTGTAAAATTGAGGAAAATCTAAATAATATTGCACCCTTTAGAATCCTCAACATTAAGTTACTGTAAGGACAATATACATCTTGTTGTAATTGAAATGCATGTCATTTCACAAAATAACTGTCGCGATTTTAGAAATAAAAGTAATAAGGCAGTACCGGTATATTGAAGGAAAGTTCTTATTTCTTATCACTACAGAGACTTATTTTTTGCATAAAATTACAGTTCACTTTGCAAAATAGAAATCAAACCTAACTTATATCATTCACAAGCAAGCCTTTAAGGCATTTTTACAAAAGAAAATTGTTGTCTTCAAAACTAATAAAATTAGTCATTAAAAAGTAGTCCCGTGAAACTTAGAACATGACTGTTTGTTTACTTTCCGAGTCCTATTTTGGCCTCATGTAAAATTCCTGGCATTATCGTACTTTGTGAACACAGTCAGTTTCTATTTTGTTTTGTTTGCTTAAAATGCTGCACCAAAACTCTTAAGGTCAGTTGGCAAATTTCAAGCTTGAATGGTTGAAAAAGACACCAGGTTATTTCAGGCACAGAAGGGCCACTGACAATTTGTAAGCTAAATGATGGCTTTGTCACAAGAAAGAATCTCTGGAAATTTATTTACAGTCATTCAGGAGGATTAAAATTATGCATTCTAAAAGGTCAAGAACTTTGCATTTAATTTTAGTTATTTAACCTAGAAAAATTCCTGATTAAAAATATAGCATGTAATATCAATCTTCAAAACTTCTGAAGGTATTCTCTATGAACTTGTTTATAAAATTGACTTGGACGAGTTTAGACTGAATTATGCGAACTCACAACATTGCTTGGTTACCTTAAAGACTTGTAACTTTTCCCCATTTTAAATTTTTTTGTCATTTCAGTAACAAATATGTCCGTCCTGTAACTTTAAAAGAGAGCTTCCCTTACTTTTGCTATTCAAATTCAAGATCCATTTAAGTATAATTCAAAGCTTATTTTCATTTCTGTATGTTGTTAACATTTAATTGTTAGTTCAATGATACAAAATAAACGTAAATTTACAGTTATAAGTCCTTTCGGTAACATTCATTAGTCTTTGCAGTAACAAGCATGTCCTTGGTGTAACACAGATTGATTTCTAGTTCTGCAATATAGCAACATAGTAAAAGTTTATTTTTGCATTCAGATTGATAAAACTTGCTCTGTTCATAAAAATAGAACAAGACAAAATGATATTCTTATGTGCGTGCGAAACATACTGACATTGTTTTACTCAATTTCCTGTTTTGTTTACAGTTGAAGACGAAAAAAAGTCTTTTGTAGAGAAAAAAATACATCTATAAAAAATCCCATTTCAGACTTAAACTGAAATTTATATAAAGTTGTGTTGTTTGTTTTGCTTTGTTGTTTAGATATTATTATTTTATAAAAAATGTAAAAAACATTATCGTTACTGCAAAGACAAACAATGGTCAATATTGACCTTCTGACAATCATAAACGATATAAAATGGACGAGTTTATGTTGCACTTTGTAAAACTAGCTTTCAAATTCATATGCTTACTAGATGAGATTAAACTTTGCAGCTAAATAAGGTATTCATATTTGAATAAATTCAGAACCCTAATTCAGGCGAAATTTGATATTAGCTCATACAACTATCTGTCAATGGATCACACTTGTTCTGATATATACAACTATCTGTCAATGGATCACACTTGTTCTGATATATACAACTATCTGTCAATAGATCACACTTGTTCTGATATATACAACTATCTGTCAATGGATGATCCGATTACACTTGTTCTGATATATACAACTATCTGTCAATGGATCACACTTGTTCTGATATATACAACTATCTGTCAATGGATCACACTCGTTCTGATATATACAACTATCTGTCAATGGATCACACTTGTTCTGATATATACAACTATCTGTCAATGGATCACACTTGTTCTGATATATACAGCTATCTGTCAATGGATCACACTTGTTCTGATATATACAACTATCTGTCAATGGATCACACTTGTTCTGATATATACATCTATCTGTCAATAGATCACACTTGTTCTGATATATACAGCTATCTGTCAATGGATCACACTCGTTCTGATATATACAACTATCTGTCAATGGATCACACTCGTTCTGATATATACAACTATCTGTCAATGGATCACACTTGTTCTGATATATACAACTATCTGCAATGGATCACACTTGTTCTGATATATACAACTATCTGTCAATGGATCACACTTGTTCTGATATATACAACTATCTGTCAATGGATCACACTTGTTCTGATATATACAACTATCTGTCAATGGATCACACTTGTTCTGATATATACAACTATCTGTCAATGGATCACACTTGTTCTGATATATACAACTATCTGTCAATAGATCACACTTGTTCTGATATATACAACTATCTGTCAATAGATCACACTTGTTCTGATATATACAACTATCTGTCAATGGATCACACTTGTTCTGATATATACAACTATCTGTCAATGGATCACACTTGTTCTGATATATACAACTATCTGTCAATGGATCACACTTGTTCTGATATATACAACTATCTGTCAATGGATCACACTTGTTCTGATATATACAACTATCTGTCAATGGATCACACTTGTTCTCATATATACAACTATCTGTCAATGGATGATCCGATAACACTTGTTCAGATATATACAACTATCTGTCAATGGATCACACTTGTTCTGATATATACAACTATCTGTCAATGGATCACCTCTAAATTTGTAGAAATATCATCTAGAACATCAGTACAGCATTGCTGGTATACACTTGCTCCTATTATCTCCCTTACAAAGTGCTCCTAAAATTTCACCTATTGGTTCAAAAATTGAAATAATAAAAAAATTATCATAACCATACATGCCATCACGTCCTGGATGTCCGGGACAGTCCCGGAAATAAGGTGTCTGTCCCGGAGGTGTCCTGGAGATGATTTATGTCCCAGTAAAAAAAAACTAAAATAATCTACTTTGAATCAAGAAATTTTACATTTTTATATAATTTTATTGTCAAGTTTTTATAAACTAGTCTAGAACGCTGAAATGAACAATTATCCCCATTGCAACGGTGACACTAATCCTTTGATTGGTATATCTACGTGCCCCTTCCAACAAATAATTATTGGCAATCATTTTTTATAAATTAAAAGATTAATTGTTTACCCCCTGTGGCTCCCTTAGTGAAGGTGTCATAACACTGTAATTGACAACTGGCCAGTATAAATTTAATCCGCCTGGAGGCAGTTATTAGTGGTCAAACACCGTTAAAATTACCTCTAAATTAATATGAGGTGATGTAATCCATAAGATTCAGCGAATGTTTCAGGTAAACGACATGGCTAATTCTCATTACTTAACATAGCTTTACTCTATTTTGTGACTGATTGAATTAACGATGCCTAAATACTTAAAAAAGATATAAAACTGTTAATAATTATTGACATTCTGTCTTTTGTTCATAGTGTCATTAAATTTGCAAGTTGTAAAAACTGGTAATATAGGTTGTATGCCACTATGTAAATTTAAAATAAATACATTCGCTGATCAATGCCCCACCTCCAAATGAAAAGTGTCCCGGAAGTGAGTCTAAAAATTATGGCATGTATGTCATAACAATAATTTATATGACAGGGCCAAAAAACCCTTCTTTGTAGAGGCCGAATATAGGCTGCTTCCCCAACCAAAATAGCCTCTTTTTTCCCCACTTTGGTCCTCAAAATTCCCCAGTCTTTTGAAATTTCCCATAGAATTTTAGACAAAATTAAATGATGGTGTTGAATTAAGGTCTTTTACTGCCTTATTAGTATTTCCCAGTGCTTTTTGCTTTTCTATTTTGAAGAACTTGTTAAAATTTTGTGTCAAATTTGAGACCCCTTTTCCCAAAGTAAGCAAGAAAAAGGCTGAGGCCCCTTCCCCAAAAATGGTGTTTTGGACCTGTATGACTATGTGTAATTTCTGACTTATTTGAAAATTACTCAGGCAAGTATGTTGTTCCTTCAAAAAACAAGCTGAAAGAAAGCATGCATTACAGCAACATAAGTATGCTAAAAAGTATGGTTAGAGGTAACACACTGCTGAACTTGGGCATGTTAGCAAAAATTATCGACCTTTTCGAAAACCTAGCTAAACACCATTTTCCGGTATGTTACGAATTTAGCTCTGGGGAATTACACCATATGAACTACAGGGGAAACGGACAAAAGCCCTCCCGGACAAAAGCCCCCCCCCGCCCCCCCACCGTCAAAAAATGACATGGCGGACAAAATTAAAGCCCTCCCGTGCAAATGACAGGGCGGACAAAAGCCCTCCCGTAAAAAATAACAGGGAGGACAAAAGCCCTCCCATGAAAATGACTGGGCGGACAAAAGCCCTCCCGTGAAATTAACAAGGCGGACAAAAGCCCTCCCGTAACAAAAATAAATACATATGTTGAATACCTGTGTTTTTTCAAAGCACTCAACATATCAAAATTGTTACATATATTTCTGGTTGTTTTCAATTGGCCAAAGTATGTGTATAAAATACCTTTTATTCTGAATATACTTTCCTGAAATGTGTAACAATGTATTTTTTTTACACGAATGTCATTAGAAACAAAGTCACTTTTAAAAGTAATTGACTCATTACAAGGCACATTATAAATGTCTTTAACTTTTTAGTTAGATAATTTTAACTTTTTTCATCATTTGTTAGCCTTAACTTCACATAGGAGTGATCCTTCATATCTACGTGAATAAATACGCACTTACAGATTTTAGCACTAATTATTCAGATGCCTCTCAGGAATGTGCTCAAGCTCATACAAACACATTTAATATGCCAATGGAAAACAAACATATTCATTATTACAATTTTAATATGTTAAGTGCACTGAAAAGAAAATTAAAACTATTCAACGTACATATATGTATTTGCTGCGGGAGGGCTTTTGTCTGCCCTATTATTTTCACGGGAGGGCTTTTGTCCGCCAAGTCATTTTTACGGGAGGGCTTTTGTCCGACCTGACATTTTCACGGGAGGGCTTTTGTCCGCCTTGTCATTTTCACAAGAGGGCTTTTGTCCGCCTTGTCACTTATTGACGGGAGGGCTTTTGTCCGGGAGGGCTTTTGTCCTACACTCGAACAACAGAACACAGTTACATGATATTTCTGGTTTTCTATCATTATTTTACCGTTTAAGGTGAAACAAATTGATGTGTTTGAAAATTATCAATATTTCTTTAATATCTATTGCAAATTTTTTAAAAAATAAATTGTTTATAATTGAAAATCAATAAAATTTAAACAGTCATAGTGGAATCTTCAATCATAAATAGAGATATTTTCTGCATAAACCTTTGTATTTTCTTTATTTTTTGTATGGAATTATTCATACAATACAATGATATTTAATTATTTTCTTACAAAGAAATAACTGTTTTATTTCACTTTAATTTAAAACTAGAACTGTGTCCAAAGGACACGGATACCCCCACTGACAACATATATATGGTATATAGTGAAAAAATCAACAAACGGCCATAATTCCGTTAAATTTGGTCGCAGCAAAAATTCTTCCTTTACTACCATCTACACATTAAGGTTGTTCATCCCTGGAAGTTTAAGCAAAATCTGCCATCCGGTTTAAGAGGAGTTGCGTTCACAAGATTTCGGGACGTACGGACGGACAGACGTATGGAAGGACAAGTGCAACGCTATATGCTCCCACTCTGTGGGGGCATAAAAAGGCCAAAAACATAGAGTTTGTTATTACACTCCATTCCCCAGAGCTATGTACAGAAAGTACCGAAAACGGCGTTTAGCTAGGTTTTCGAATTCGTGAATTCAATATGTTTTCTTCATACATCAGTGTATTAACATTAAGTTCTACGTCAGATGTGAAATATACAATAATTTGGACAAGTTTTACAAATTAATAGAACTGAATGATGATAAATCTATAAAATCGCGAAAATACATGACACTAAAACTATTACCTCTTAGGTCCTTTATTCAAATGATTTTCATTTCATGCAAAGTTTTGAATCGTGTGGAGTTGCAAATGGTTTACATTTCAAAGGGAAGTAACTACATAAATGTAACTACATAAATTCGTACTACATATTTTCGTACCTAATCTGCAAAAACTAGGAAGAGGGCCAAGATGGCCTTTATATATCTCACCTGATAACGCAGACTTAATATCATTTTATTTCGTCTGCGTGACCGAGCTTTTCACCACAGAAGACCAGCATATTCAAATTTAACATAGAAATTATCAAAACAACGGGTATAGATGGATACCGAAAATAAGCTATTTTCGCGAAAATAAGATCGCGGCTACGAAAATAAGATTTATTTTTGAAAAAGTGCATTTATCTGTTTGAATAATTATGTAAGTAATATACTTATGTACTCATTGAATGATTTTATAGCAAATTAAAATTTCAGAACAAAAAAACTATTTTAATAAGTGAAGTTTGAGCCGAAAATACACTCACAAAAATAGCTCAAATTGCCGTGTATTTAGCGAAAATAAGATCGGGTCTGTGACCCAGATGTCTTTTTGCCTTGTATAAATAAAAGAACAAAACTGAAGGTAATACTGGTTCTTCGATTTAATATGTAGTGGACACTATTTATTACAGGTTACAAAGTACATCTCCTCATCAAACATCATATATCATACATCGTACAACATAAACATCATATCGCATCAATTAAGTTACATCACAGTTACATCACATCTACATCAAGCCCTTAAAGTATAAATACCAAACATCCCATACTATCATGAAATATATAGTTTTATACACTTGTAAGGTACACTTCATTAAGTTACATTACAGTAGATCTACCTTAAATATACTTAGTCTAATATCAACAGATCAACAGATCAGTCTATAGGGATAGACCATTCATTTTATCTCATGAAAATAAATCATGTACACATAAAATACATCTTTAAATGTATTACATCATATTGTACCTGCATCTAGTGACCACTTAACCAGTTATTTATAAAATAATATGCAATGTATCATTTCCTTTAAAACATTCATGTATTTACAAAATATATAACCAATTACATATAAACATAATATAACATACCGATTGTGGATCAAACTCCTTCTATATCACACCTGTCTCACACCTGTCTCACAGTAACTGTCTCACCGTGCTGTTAATTATGCTGTAAACTGTAAATTACAAACATCAGTGCAATACAAATAGAAACAGTGATTTCTAGAAATAATTGTAAGACAAGAAAGTATGCTGCCATCTTGAATTCTAACAATCAAGAATAATACAAATTTATCAAAATAACTTTTATCAAATCCACAACTGTATTTAATTACTATAAGTCTTCATTTAGTTGGCATACATTGTGTAAGAACTTTTAAGAACAAAGATATAAAACATACCAATACCAAATTCCTCAAACCTTAATATTTAAATAATAATTTCTAAGTCAGAAAAACATATATTCATGTCACTATGACCATCAACTTCTGATTACACAAAGAATGACCTCAAGTGACCCTAACTTTAGGAGGGAAACGTTATGGTTGAGCAAATAGCAAATGTGGTCAAGGGGTCATAATCACACAATTTAAGATTAAAATCAAACAAGACCGTCAGAGTTACCTTTCTTGAAAAATAGCAAAAACCTTAAAAATAGCACTTGGTTACAGGTCTACGAAAATAAGATTTATATTTGATATAATGTATTTAAAACGTATTTTTGATATTAATAATTGATTTGTATGAATGAAATAATAAATTTCAGAACCAAAAAAAAAATCAAAATGTGAAGTTTGAGCCCAAAATACCATTGTATGAAAATGGCTCAAATTGCCGTGTAAAGCGAAAATAAGATCGGGTCTACGAAAATAAGATTTATTTTTGATATAATGTATTAAAACGTATTTTTTGGTGTTATCAAATGATTTGTATGAATGAAATAATAAAGATTTAAAATGTTTTGTAATGAATATTAGACGTCTGTGCGGCAAATATGGTAAATCACAGATTTATATGTAATATAAATCCGTGGGTAAATATTCCAAATTTAGTATAGAAAGAACGCATGAACATATAACAAAAATTGCGTCTACGAAAATATAGTCTATATAAGATTTACATGGTTCATAACTTATATTAAAAATAGTATTAACTTTAATTTTTATGATTTTGCAAATAAATTTTAAGAATTAAATGTTCTCTTATAAGATAAGAAATGTTTGTGGTGAAAAAGTATCAAAATAAAAGAAAGAACAAGTGCAAAAATAACCTGAAACAACGACTACGAAAATAAGATCTAAATCTATATAAGAATATGTACCGTACGAAAAAAAATTCTAAACAGTACTCTACGAAAATAAGATCTGTAAGAAATCAAAAGCTGTATGAAAATAATGTTAATACGAAATAAGGTTACGAAAATAAGATCTGTTAGTAAATGAGGACTGTAAAACCAATTAAAACCTGTATGAATTGATATTTATTTGAAAATAAAACCTGTATGGAAATACGTATATGTACGAAATTAAGATCCTATTGAAAATAAATCTATACGAAAATAAGATCTGTATGAAAATAATGTCTGTATTCGACTAAGATTTTACAAATGTAAGATCTGTGAAATGAAAATAATATCCTTACAAAAAGTAAAATACATATGAAAATAAGATAGACCCTCTACGTAAAAAAATATTACCTGTATGAAAATACTATATGTACGAAAATAAGATCCTATAGAAAATGTGATCTATACGAAAAAAATAATATCTGTAAGAAAATAATACCACGAATATGAGATCAATACGAAACTTGAAACTTTTTATTTAATTAAACGCCTGTTTTTATTTAACAATATTCAACGGCGTTGTACAGTACATATAAATAATAAGAATAAAATTGTGAATGCATAAGAATATGTGGATCAACATCAAATGAAATAAAAGCTTTTACATACAATTCCAATTAACATATTTTTAAAAAAAATTAGAGACCATAAAATTATAAAACTGATTGATATACATGTAGCATGAGATAAGATTATTTACATACATGTAACTTGATTACAAATAGATTAAAAAGAATAAAACATTCATTGATATTGCACATTCATCACACTGTCAGTCATCAGTTATAAGTTACTCATGTTTATATCATTTCAGATTTTAAAATAGTGATTCAAACTTTCTGAAAAAATGTGTTTTAAGATTTCTCTTAAATACATCAATATTTTTACCTTTCTGACCAATTTCAAGCATATTTGGATCAAAACTGTAGCCTCTCAGTCTAGAGTGTTAACACGTTTTATTTCCATATTTGGGTTGTGTGACCTAATTTTTGACCCTAGGTGACCCTTGTTCGAACCACGGATTTATATTACATAAATCTGCGTTCGAACATGTCAGACCTAGAAATCACCAAACAATCTTTCTGACCAATTTCAAATGTTTAATGAATCTAAATAATAAACAGTAAGCCTACCCTCTAACAAGTTTTTTTGTTTGTTTGTTGTTATTTTTTAAATGTAGTGCCACTTATATTCTTAATATATTCATTAAATCATAAATTATGTAGAGATTCCAGTATTACTAATGTTATCACGAAGTCATTATTGGTCTCTATAGGGTATCATAAATGCTCTACTCCCTCCTGACATTAATTCCCTACCAGACTAATTGTTGTAGCTTTAATATCACCAAATACATGTAACATAAAATGAGAAAGGTTAAATTGTTATATACAATTTTCCGAGTTAACAATATTTTATCAAATTTATCAGTTTTCGACAAATTTATGTATGTATGTATTCTAGGTTAAATGAGGGTCCATCAACCCTTTCAGGCACTGAGAGTACGGACCACGGACATGTCACCATTCATGTCCTTAAGTGTTATTATCAACCAAAAGGTGACCTATAAATTTTGAATTCAGTAATGCACTGAATGATACTAAATACGTATGCAAGTCGATTTTTGTGATGATACAATTTTGATGCACGGGAGGTTAATGAGACCATTATATGCATCATGGAGAAAAATGAAAGACGAGCTTGACTGATGGATAAGATTATGTAACTCGGACTGAACCTGACAAATATTTTCCGTATGCAGATCTAAGGGGGACATAATTCTGAAAATAGTCTTGCTAGAGTATTTTACCTTCTCAAAAATGTTGAGTGATAATAAGAAACATATATATGAAGTTTGAAGTAGATACATTAAGAAATAAAGTAGTAATTTAAAAAAGACAACATTTTTTTCATATAAATTCTAAGTTCAAGGGAGGTAATTCTGATAATTTTTGTGCTAGAGTTGTAAATCTTGTCACATATGATGTGGTTGACGACCAGAAACTTATATTTAAAGTTTGAAGTAAACACCTTAAGAAATAAAGAATTTATAGTGAAAAAGCTTAAAAAATTTAAACCAGAAACCTTGAAATTCAGTCTATTTGTTGCCATAGCAACCAGAATTTTCAACGTAAAAAGAAAAAGATGTGCATAATCTCCAGACTGCCATCTACCCATATTTTAAGTTTCATAAAAATATTTTCAGTACTTTTTGAGTTATCACTGGATCCAGTTTATGTGTTAAATTTGCCATATTTTCAGTCTATTAGTTGCCTTAGCAACCAAAATTTTCAACATAGGAAGAAACGAAAAAGACCTGCATAATCTCCATACTGACATCTATCCATATATCGAGTTGTATTAAAACATTTTCAGTACTTTTTGCGTTATCGCGGGATCCAGTTTTGTGGACGGACGGACTGACGGACTGACAGACAGACAGACGGACGGACAGACGGACGGAGGGTAAACCTAAATTTCCCTCCGGTTAAACCGGTAGGGGACTAACAATAACAACACCTCTAGCTATAACTGAATATATACAGACATGCACTTGTATCATAAAAAAACTATATCATATTGTTTCGTATTAGCTCTAATTTAGTTGTGTTCAACCTTTACTCATTGTCATGTATTGATGTTTATAAATAGTATCTCATATCACATGATTAACTAACCCCCTCACACCCCGAATTTATA